GCCATACCAGACTGTATGCATTAGATTCATGCTTGGGGGGAAAACAAAACAAAATAATCACTGAGGTAAGATCTCTATGCAAATACAGGGAAAACATCACTGCTAGACCTCTTGCTGCATTTGCAGAAGCCATAAAAATATACAGTAGAAATGCAGACTTCAAACAGCTTCAACAAACAGAAACATTTGGTGACCACATGTCAGACCATTCACTGGATTTGATTGCTGTGCTGTTGGTTCAAACTAAAAGATTTCACCAAGTTGTCCTGGCTCTCAAGTTTTACCTCAAGCAGACTCTTTCTATCAAGTTACTCTGCAAATCTGTTTTTTCAATCTTCTGAGCAGGTGTGTGTGTGTGTCAGGAGGAGGGAGGGGTATGCATATATACATAAATTTGGGGTTTCCTGGAAAAAGAAAAAAAAACAAAAGCCCCAAAATAATCTTCCAACATTCAAAAGGTAACAGATACGTTTAAATTACAAGGAAGATAGCTTTGGATTCTGAAAAGCACACTTTAAAGCAATAATGCATGCAGTTGTCAGCACACGCAACAGCATTCAGAAAAATTAGGCTTTTTCGGTACCTATTTAATGGTCATGACAGACAGGAGCAGCAGAGGTATCTTTAGTTGCTGTCCATACAAGCTGTGCTTTCTTCCTCTAATGCAGCTTCTTGAAAATTATAAAAACCTTATTTTGCTACAGAAATCCTCATGGTGAAACACCTCTCTCCATCAATGCTGGGTAGGGTTAGCATCAGGAAGGACTTCTCTTCTGCTGCAGTCTCTCTTCTCTGCATGAGGAGCAACCCCAAGGTCCTGATTCTGACTGTCAGACTGATGCTCTTGACAACAGTATCTCACAAAATTAGTAGCTCTCAGAACATCTAACTCTAAGAACTTTATATGAGTTATTAGGGAAATAAATTCAGCTCACAAGAAGAGCTGTAAAAGTTTGCAAGGGTTACTTGGCCCAACACTCATTTTTCACTTCAATGCATTTCTCAAGGTTGCTTCACATGCTTTCCTATGGCTCTGCTGCTTCAGTCCAACAATTCATTCAGGCACACGCTCACTGGCCACCCTTGCTCAGACTGGATCTGTACATTTGAGTACTTCAGGGGGAAAAAAAAAAATAAATCAAGCATTATTTGCCTCAGGGCCCTTTAACTAAAGATTTACAGACTTTGTGGGTCAGGTTTCAAGTTGCTTTAGCAAACAATTTCAAACCATAGACATTTACCTGAAGATTAGGGTTCATTTAAGACACAGAATAGGAATCAAAAGCTCAGATGTTTTACAAGAAAACAGCACACATTTCTTTTCTTTAGAACTCTTCAAGAGGCATCGCTCCTAAAATGGTGAAATGTGTTTCGGGGGAGAGGAACTATGCCTCCCTTTCATTCACAAGGGTGAACTTGGTGGAAGACTGCAGAGAGGGAGAGGCAGACTGCCCTCCCACATCTTGAGGCAGGAAAACAGAGTCGGCAGTCTGGGATATTTAATAGCTGGGGGAAGAATGCTTTGGTTTGGAGGAACAGCTTTTGGCTTGCTTAAGTTATAATACGGAACAGAACACAGTAAAACTATTTTAACCCAGCTATTTCTAGGTTTGGCAAACAGCTCTACCTTTCACAGAATCATAGAAAATCCTGAGCTGGAAGGGACCCACAAGGATCATTGAGTCCAACTCCTGGCCCTGCACAGGACACCTCAAGAATCACATCACGTGCCTGAGAGTATTGTCCAAATGCTTCTTGAACTTTGTCAAGCTTGTTGCTGTGACCACTTCCCTGGGGAGCCTCCCAGTGCCCAACCACCCTCTGGGTGAAGAACCTATTTCTAATATCTAATTGAAAACTCCCCTGACACAGTTCCATGCCATTCCCTCGGGTCCCATCACTGGTCACCAGAGAGAAGAGATCAGCGCCTGCCCCTCTTCTTCCCCTCATTAGGAAGTTGTAGACTGTAATGAGGTCTCTCCTCTTTCTTCTTTTTTGAGAAGCTATTTCTAAGTTGTGGTGTACCAGTGTTTTATTCTGGTCTCAGCATGCACCATCTGCCCAGCTGAGTGGGTAGATGGCCTGCAAGTGAGTTTGACCAGCACCAGTTGCTCCAGGGAGAGCTCAGAAGGCTCCAAAAGTCTCAGATGCAAGGACCCAACCTCACTAATCAGTGCTGGCTTCTGGATAAACAATATGTGAGAAGAGCTTGAGTTTTGCACAGAAAATGACTATTCTTTCCCCAAAATAAGTAGATGACCTCAACAGACAGGCCTCCCAAAGTGACTCTACGAGTGTAACTGAGACAAGCAACATCATCTCCCAAATCACAAAACACTAGAGGTTGGCGACTACATTTGAAGTCTCTGCACTGTGAATACTACAGGCCTGCCTTGTCTGCATTATCATAAACTATGACCCAACATGAATCTGAATTAAAGAACGACATCTTTCATTAACTATCACCACATATCAGATACAATTTTTTGGTTTTATTACTCTTAATCAAGCTGTTGGGCTTTTTGGTTTTGGGTTGTTTGAGGGTTTGGTTTTGGGGTGGGGAGAGAGAGTTTTTTGTTTGTTTGGGGTTTGTGGGGATTTTTTTTATTGTTGTTTTTTTTTTTTTTTTTTTTTTTTTTCATTGGTTGGGGGGGTGTGTTTTTTTTGTTTTTGGTGTTTTTTTTTTTTTTTTTTTTTCACTTTTTTTTTTTAGCAAAAGACTAGCATCACAACTAGGAGCAAATGTTTCAGCTCCCACCAGCCAGTGGCTGCCTTACAGCATGGAGAATTCAGCTGGGAACAGGCAGAAGAGGGACCCAACCAGGACACAATTTTCTCTCACAAAGACCTTCAAGAACACATGGGGAGAAAATTTTTGATGTTTTGAGGTGGGTTTTTGACTACCCCTGAGATCTGACAAATACAGCTGCTCATTCCCATTGCAAAAGGCCCTCAGCTTCAAGGTTTGAGCTCAGGTCTTCTGAGTTTTTTTTAAGTCTCGAAGTCCAAAAAGTTCTGTATTGAAATACAGAAATATGTTAACACTGATTTCATTAGCAAAAAGAAAGAGTAACAGTTTACACAGACATTTTGGCTTGTTCTCTTAAACACATAGTAGCTAGTGTATGTATGCTTTCATCTTCCTCTAATGTTAGGGAGAAGCTGACACACAAAACCTTACCAAAACATCAGAACTTCAAGTTCATAAATATTTGGAAATCTGCCTCATCTTCAAAAATAATTGTTTAATCATTAGGACTCACCAAGTTTCACTCTCTATCATGTATACACCACTTTGTTTCACCAAGACTCACAAAACCTTGGGACAGGTCTCATTACCCTAAAAATATCATTACTCTTCTCATACAACAACGGAAATGGTTAGTCTTGGCTTTTTAACCCGTCTGGATGTAAAAAGTAGAGAAACACACCGGTACTTCTGAAATACAAGCCTAAATTCATAGAGAAATAAACATTTACATTTTCCTTTAACTTTATAGAATTCCTAACATCCTGTTTACCAGTACTTTCAGGTTTTCAAGTTACTCGCTTTACAATCAAATGTTTCTCCAAGTTTAAAAGGTCCTTTAAAATGAGAACAGCTTTCACATATCAAAGGATAGTCATACAAATTAGATGAGGAAGGCAGGAAGCTGAGCATTTGTTGTTTTCTTCTACACAAACAGCACAATCCACACTCACATTGCTTTGCTAGTGCTCCCACGTGCTACTGGAAGGCAGAGGGAACCTTCTGTAGGAATGGTACAACCATAAATTTCACGTGAAATTTAATAATAATTAAAACAAATCCCCAAACCCTTAAAATAGGATTTTCAAAGATGACATTACATCACCTTAATGAAACTATTTAAAGTAAGCTTTGCCAGTTTACAAAAAGCAATGCAAGAAAGGTATACGCGAGGGAGGAATGCTTTAATTACCTAAACTCACAGCTAGCTCTTATAAAATTGACACATGGGGAAGCCTGGACTGCTTTAATTACCTACATTCACAAATCACACTTACAAAAGTGACACTTGTGGAGGTCATTTGTGATACCCTTGCCTTTGGTGCTCTCAGTTTAAAATTCTCAATAGATTTTAAGCACTAGATGTCATTGTTTTACAGAGGAAACAAGCCGGGACTCAGGTTTGACAAGCTTATAAAGATGAGAGATAAAAAGTAACAAACATTCTTTTTTGAACTTCGAAAGTTACTGGGATAGCGCTTCTGACATCGTAAGTTTCATCTCAAGTTAACAGGCAAATAGAAATAAGCTTACTACGTTAAAATACATATAAACCAGCACTTTAAAGCTCCACTTTAAAAGCACACCACGACTCTTAAGTAAGGCCGTTCAGTATTCCTAACATTTCCCAGCTTCCACGCCATGAGCCTAGCTGGCTCCAGCCGCACGCTGCCTGACCACACTCGGGTACACCTAGGAACAACCTCTTTCTTCAGGCATTAGCACGTACCGCACCGGTGTAACTCGGTGTAACGATACAGAAACACACATATTTACATCAAGCCCTGTGCGCAGTCAGACACTCATGTTTAAAAATAGGAGAGAAGAAAATGAGTGTTAATTTCAGGTTGCTCTCTGTCCTGAACTCTTTCGTGACAGGAAGGAGTGCCTTTAATTCAGACTGTCTCGGAGCAAGCGCTATAGAAGTAATTTACAAGATGGCAAGAAATTATAAGCCTTAATGACAGGCGGACAGCCAAGCCAGCCTTTAATTTGGATTCAGAGGAGGGGGCGGTGGCGATGCTGCACAGACAGATCTCTGCAAGCTGCCACGATACCTTCTAAAAATAGCAGCCCACAGCTGCTGACAAAGAAGCAAAGTTTGGGGCCGCATCCCCAGAGCTGCTGCCCGGCGGTGGGGCAGCCCCGCGGGAGCGGGGGGCGCGGCGGGACCCCGGCCTCGGGGAGGGGGCACGGGAGGGGACCAGGGTGACGAGGGGCTGGCACACAGCAGGACCGAGAGCCGCCTCACCTCTACCCATCGCTGGGCTTCGGCGAACGCCACCTGGCAGTCGCACTCCGCGTCCTCTCTCCCCTCCATGTCCAGCAGTGAGCGAGCAGGGGCGGCCGGTCCTCACGGGGCGGGGGCGCGGGGAGCGGCCGCTGTCATTCGGCTGCCTCCTTTTAACGCTCCCCGCGCCGTCTCCTCCCCCTCCACCTCCTCCCCGCGGAACTCCCCCTCCCGGGAGGGAGCTCGCTGGCGCTCCGCGACCGCAGGAATCCGAGGGAGCCGCGGGCTGCAGCGCAGCGCCGGGCCCCCCGGGCGGCCGGGAGGGGCCGTACCCCCCGCGGCAGAGGCGGCGGCGGCGGCTCCCTCCCGCCGGGACGCGGCGCCCCTCGCCCTCACGGCCGGTGGAGGCCGCCCCCGGCGGCTTCCGCCCCGGCGCATACCAGGAATAGCTGGGGACAATCGCACCTTTCAGGGCCGGCCACTGCCGCCCGGGCCCCGCCACCTGCCGCCCCGCCCGCCCGGGGCTGCCCTGCGCTGCCCTGCGCTCCACCGCCCTCCGCCGGGGCAGCGGGAGCGGAGCCCGGGCCCCTCACCTCCGCACCGCAGCCACCCCGGGGGATCCGGCACCACACTCCTCTGCAGCGTTGTCCCGCCTGGGGACGAAGTTAGGAGGCTTTCCCACCGCTTTGGGAGACATGAGAGAGCCGCACTTCGTTTTGAGCGCTTTTCATACAAAGTGGCCAAAGCGGAGCTGCCCGGGCAGAACTGGAGCCACGCAGCTCGGCCTCCACGCTCCCCTCCCCAGCACCCTTGGCCTCTGTTCTGGTATAGCTCACAGCACTCACACCAGTGCCCATTGCTCTGTTTCATCCATGTCTGCTCACAGCACACTGCAACAGATTCTTTGCGACTTCTCTACCCCTCACGCTATCCCAGGCTCAGACCTAAAGCCCGATCTCAGTATGGCTTGACTGCTGAACCTGGGGGGGGTGCCATGCTGAGCTCTGGCTCCTGCAGTAACCACAAATGTGAGGCAGGTTGGGATTATGCTTTGCTGCAACAAAGGTTGACCCACCCTGACCGACACACCAGAACCAGGAGAGGTGATGTGCTAACTGAACACAGCAAAATACAATACAGGAATGGACACATGCTAAACAGAAAAGTTGAAGAAATATCAGGGAAAAGTGGTTTTCTGGAATGTTCATACATAGCACAGGGGTTTTGGTTTTTTGTGTTGTTGTTGTTTTTTTTTTAAAGTACTTGATTTCATTTAACATTTTAAGTTCTCTACAACTACCTGAAAGAAGGCTGTGGCAAGGTGGAGCTCAGTCTCTTCCCCAGGTAACAAGAAGCAGAAGAAGAAATGGCCTCAAGTTGCACCAGGGGAGGTTTAGATTGGGTATTAGGAAAAATTTCTTCAGTTCGAGGGTGGTCAAGCACTGACACAGGCTGCCCAGAAATGTGGGGGAATCACCATCCCTGAGGTGTTAAAAAAATGCATGGATGTGGCACTTGGGGACATGGTTTAGTGGTAAATATGCCAATGCTAGTTTAACGGTTGGACTCTATGATCTTATGAGGTCTTTTCCAACCTTAACAATGCTATGATCTTTTCTTACTTGAATGTTTTGTAACATTTTTTTCTTTCCATGTCTTTTCCATAAGTAAAACCAAGTTGCTGCATGCACACTTTGCTTTTATGGCCCATGGCACAACATACATAATTTTTCAAGGACTACTGAGAAAAGCTAACTTAAAATTTGTACTACACACAAATCAGCATTTCCTGAAGGGATATGGTTTAGGGATGAAACATGGAGTGCTGGGTTAACAGTTGGACTTGATGCTCTTAGAGGTCTTTTCCAACCTTAATGATTCTATCTTTCTCTCCTTTAACTGTAAGTAGTATTTTTTCTTTCCAAATCTTCTCTATATGTAGCAAACTGAGTTGCTGCATGCATCTTAGGCTTTTATGACCCACAGCAAAACACAGGTAATTTTTGAAGGACTACTGAGAAAAGAGAACTTAAAATTTGTACTACACACAAATTTGCTTCTCCTGAGATAATGCATCTTATTTCTGCTCTACAAAAAACCTTCTTGGAATAGGAAAGAAAATTTTTAGGAAATCAACATACCAAGAAGATATTAGCCATCAGTTTCTGCAGTATGTGGAAACCAGTGTTGCTAGTGTTACACAGAGGAAGAACATTGCAGTGACTTTGGCTGAAAGAAGTTCTACGGCAGATGTTTGACATTAATTAAAGTTACAAATTCATAGAAATTATGTATTTAGCTCCTCACCATAGCATGAATTAAGACATCTATGCTTTAGGGTCAGCAAGGAATGAAACGATAATCAAAGCTGTAATTTTGAAGTTTTTTCCCCCCTCTTTTTTCCCGCTCCAAGCCAGATCAGCCACAAGACTAAATACAAATGAAGAATCTGCATATTTCTCGAGTGGGAAGCCTGAACATCGGAAAACAACCTTCTCATCTCACTATTAAGCATCGTTGACTACAAAGGGTAAAAAAAGTCTAAATAAAGCATGTATGAGCTGCTGCTGCTGGCTGACATCAGTGTGCATTAGCTGAGGTTACCAAACATTCTTCTGGGGAACAACAGCAATCTTTCTCCAGTTTTTAAGGTCTTTTCACTTCATCTAAAAATACAGTGCTTGTCCCTAAGTAGGAGAAAGTAATTACGAATTCTATAAAAGTTTAAATTTATTTGAGAATAGAATTCTACGAAACAGGTTTCAGAAGAGATCGTGTTTAAAAAAACATTTTCAAATTCTCACTTATTTCTGGTTGCTTTATTTCACATCAAGGCAATCAAATAACTTTTCTTACAAATTGTTTAATGTTTTAGATCAAATAATTTGAGTAATCTGATTAATCAAGTAACTTGACTAAGTCAGTGTTTAAGTAAAACACTTTTAAGTTGAAGTTATTCACTAAGCAAAAAAAAGTTCCAACATGCAAATTTCATCCTCAAAGTGAATTTTAAAACAATTGTCACAGATAAGTTATCTATGTAAGCCTGAGCAACCCAAATAGTTTATTATTCCTTTGCACTAACAAGGTAAGTCACTAGAGTCCTAGATCAGAAAAAGATTACATATACCAGATATGACTGCTAATTGTTGCTTCAAAAGTAGCAAACATAGTACTGTTCTATTTGGCAAAAATGAACCCTTTCAATATGTGTGTGCTCCTAGGGATAAGTTAAGCAACAGTTTACATCATATTCTTTTCAAGGAGAGTTCTACAAATATGTGACACAATGTATTTTCTACCAAGGCAGGCTTCCTTTAAGGATAGACAGCATTTATTTTCTAAATGTGGGCTGTTAAGTGTGTTTATTTTCCAAAACTTATATTTCAGTGTCAGAAAACAACATCTTTCTTCGTCTTCCCTTAACTGAATCACACAGCCATGATTGAAAGGAAAGGGCATTGTACTGGTTATTAAATCCTTACGGTTTCTTAACAAAATGGCTGTAATAACATGGGAAAAGTTGCACCAATATACTTAAAAGAGCTTGAACAATCCTGAGTGCATAATAGCACACCAGCTCCACTCAGCTGAAGTTAATGTAAGTGCGGAGCATGCATCATCTCTTCACTCCTACACGCACCGTTTCCATAAGATGATGTGTATGGCTGGCCTGGACTGAAGGAGGTGAAGAGGGGTTTCCCGATAGTAGCACTGTGTGCCTGTGGCCAAGCCATGTTCCTCCACACAAGGGTGGCGAGGCTCTGGCAGGGCTGCACAAGTTAGAAAATACAGCATTATTTTCCCACGGAGCTTGAACTAATACGCAGAGATCGTACAGCAAAGGCAATGATGCAGACGTTGAGGCATTGCAGAGCCGAAGCACTGTGTGGTCTGCAGGGCTTATCAGCCCCTGGTCACGACCTTGCTGACAAGTCAGCCAAGTTCGTACTTCACTCCTTGTATCCAAGTTATACAGGTTCTGTCAAGGAAAAGGATATTCCAGCAGCTTGTAGATCCCTTTACTTCCTATGCTCCTCAAGATGGTCACCAATGCCTGTGCCAAAGCATGCTCTTACAAGGTGGTCTCTGGAAGACTGTTGCACTGCACAGGTTAGGTGAGATGGTATTTCTGCAGTACAGTCTTTCAAAATTTCAATCTAGCAAGGGACCACACAGTAAGCAGACACAGTTCGGCATAAGAACTGGTGTATTGCTCTTCCTTTGGCATCTCAATACAGTGTTCACTAAAATATACCATCTTATATATTAATAAACCAGAAATTAACACAAAATTAAAACAAAATAGAAGGAATCTTTACCCTGCAGAACAACTGATTTGAAGACTATGCAGAAGATGCTGAACAAAATTACCATTGCCAAAATAGTAAGAATTCTTAAGTTTTTACATAACATTCAAGATGTATTTTTCCAGTGTGCCCATGAAAAATCCCACCCCAAATTTACTATTCTAACCTTGTTATCCTTTGTCATGCATTGGTCTAATGAGTTCTCGTACTTAATGAGGAGCTTCCGTTCCGAAGGGATTTTGCAATAAACAGTTGCACAAAAAGAGAGCCCATTCATCTATTACTTTAAGTCTTCTGAACATTGAAGAGCATATAAGGCGTGACTATTTCCCTAAAGCGGACAAGTGATGTAGCTAGTTTAACAGCTTTGAACTATGCTTCGTTTCTTTCTTCACCCTCCTCCCTCCCCTAAAAGGGCCTTAGCTGTATTAACTATGGCTTACTTGAAATTTAATCATCAAGTCACCTTCAGCATAAAATATGCAATATCCCAATTCAATTGTGACAACTTTTATTTGATTTTTCTGATATTATCAAGAAGACAGTGCAGCTGGTTTGATTACTAAAGCCTTTGATTTTTATTTAAAAGCAAGTTTCAGGGCCTTGCTAATGAGCAGGGCAACATAAAGCAAGTCTTAACGATACTGCATTTTATTGGGGTGAAAAAATGTTCAAAAATAGAAGCTCATTAGTGTTGTTTTTCTCCCTTGCTTTTCCAACCATCTCACTTACAGAAAACAGACTAGTGTTGTTAATGGACTCTCCAGGTAACATGTTTTAGAGAGATGTTCGTAAGTGATAAGACAGACTCTCAGGCCTCTTTCTTTTCTATGAAGAAGGAAAACTCTGCCAGACTGCTTCTGGCACAACCCCATTCATTTTTCCTGCAATGACAATTGACAGAGAATGAGAGCACTCTCTGGGACACGGAGGGTTCAGTTTCCTTTGGCAGTGGGTTTGACTGGAAGCAAACCTAAATTATTCCACTTCT